AGTTTGTAAACTACGTACATAAGAACATAAGAACAAGGTAACTGCAGAAGGCCTATTGGCCCCTACGAGGCAGCTCCTATCTACAACCACCCAATCCCACTCATACACATGTCCAACCCGCGTTTGAAACAATCGAGGGACCGCACCTCCACCACGTTACGCGGTAATTAGTTCCACAAATCAACAACCCTGTTACCCAACCAGTATTTACCCAAACTCCAAACTATAATTCTCTCTCTCTCTCTTGTCCAAACCACTTGGGCTGGACGGTAGAGCGACGGTCTCGCTTCATGCCGGTCGGCGTTCAATCCCCGACCGTCCAAGTGGTTGGGCACCATTCCGTTCCCCCGTCCCCATCCCAAATCCTTATCCTGACCCTCCTTCCCAGTGGGCTGTGCGTCTAAAGAACGTCGGGCAGGAGAGGGCTGTGCGTCTAAAGAACGTCGTGGCAGGAGAGGGCTGTGCGTCTAAAGAACGTCACGACAGGAGAGGGCTGTGCGTCTAAAGAATGTCATGACAGGAGAGTGCTGTGCGTCTAAAGAACGTCACGACAGGAGAGGGCTGTGCGTCTAAAGAACGTCACGACAGGAGAGGGCTGTGCGTCTAAAGAACGTCACGACAGGAGAGGCTGTGCGTCTAAAGAACGTCACGACAGGAGTGGGCTGTGCGTCTAAAGAACGTCACGACAGGAGAGGGCTGTGCGTCTAAAGAACGTCACGACAGGAGAGGGCTGTGCGTCTAAAGAACGTCGGGCAGGAGAGGGCTGTGCGTCTAAAGAACGTCACGACAGGAGTGGGCTGTGCGTCTAAAGAACGTCACGACAGGAGAGGGCAGTGCGTCTATACGCCAACACCAGTCATCACTACATTTAGGTGGGCGTACACCTGCCTGTATGGTCTCACTCCCACCGTAAATAATGAATCAGTTTCGGGGTAATTTACAGACGGATACGCTCCCATGTACACGTGAGGGTGGTGGTGGTGGGAGGCCGCTCCCATGTACACGGGAGGGTGGTGGTGGTGGGAGGCCGCTCCCATGTACACGTGAGGGTGGTGGTGGTGGGAGGCCGCTCCCATGTACACGTGAGGGTGGTGGTGGTGGGAGGCCGCTCCCATGTACACGTGAGGGTGGTGGTGGGAGGCCGCTCCCATGTACACGGGAGGGTGGTGGTGGTGGGAGGCCGCTCCCATGTACACGTGAGGGTGGTGGGAGGCCGCTCCCATGTACACGTGAGGGTGGTGGTGGGAGGTCGCTCTCATGTACACGTGAGGGTGGTGGTGGGAGGCCGCTCCCATGTACACGTGAGGGTGGTGGGAGGCCGCTCCCATGTACACGTGAGGGTGGTGGTGGTGGGAGGCCGCTCCCATGTACACGTGAGGGTGGTGGTGGGAGGCCGCTCCCATGTACACGTGAGGGTGGTGGTGGGAGGCCGCTCCCATGTACACGTGAGGGTGGTGGTGGGAGGCCGCTCCCATGTACACGTGAGGGTGGTGGTGGGAGGCCGCTCCCATGTACACGTGAGGGTGGTGGTGGGAGGCCGCTCCCATGTACACGTGAGGGTGGTGGTGGGATGCCGCTCCCATGTACACGGGAGGGTGGTGGTGGTGGGAGGCCGCTCCCATGTACACGTGAGGGTGGTGGTGGTGGGAGGCCGCTCCCATGTACACGGGAGGGTGGTGGTGGTGGGAGGCCGCTCCCATGTACACGGGAGGGTGGTGGTGGTGGGAGGCCGCTCCCATGTACACGGGAGGGTGGTGGTGGTGGGAGGCCGCTCCCATGTACACGTGAGGGTGGTGGTGGTGGGAGGCCGCTCCCATGTACACGGGAGGGTGATGGTGGTGGGAGGCCGCTCCCATGTACACGTGAGGGTGGTGGTGGTGGTGGGAGGCCGCTCCCATGTACACGTGAGGGTGGTGGTGGGAGGCCGCTCCCATGTACACGGGAGGGGTGGTGGTGGTGGGAGGCCGCTCCCATGTACACGTGAGGGTGGTGGTGGGAGGCCGCTCCCATGTACACGTGAGGGTGGTGGTGGTGGTGGGAGGCCGCTCCCATGTACACGTGAGGGTGGTGGTGGTGGGAGGCCGCTCCCATGTACACGTGAGGGTGGTGGGAGGCCGCTCCCATGTACACGTGAGGGTGGTGGTGGGAGGCCGCTCCCATGTACACGTGAGGGTGGTGGTGGGAGGCCGCTCCCATGTACACGTGAGGGTGGTGGTGGGAGGCCGCTCCCATGTACACGTGAGGGTTGTGGTGGTGGGAGGCCGCTCCCATGTACACGGGAGGGTGGTGGTGGGAGGCAGCCTATAGCTGTAGTGAGGGGAGCACGGGATTATAGCTGTGGTGAGGGGAGCACGAGATTATAGCTGTAGTGAGGGGGGGCACGGGATTATAGCTGTGGTGAGGGGAGCACGAGATTATAGCTGTAGTGAGGGGGGCACGGGATTATAGCTGTGGTGAGGGGGGCACGGGATTATAGCTGTGGTGAGGGGAGCACGGGATTATAGCTGTGGTGAGGGGAGCACGAGATTATAGCTGTAGTGAGGAGAGGGGAGGGGATTATAGCTGTAGTGAGGGGGAGCACGGGATTATAGCTGTGGTGAGGGGGGGCACGGGATTATAGCTGTGGTGAGGGGGGGCACGGGATTATAGCTGTGGTGAGGGGAGCACGAGATTATAGCTGTGGTGAGGGGGGGCACGGGATTATAGCTGTAGTGAGGGGGAGCACGGGACTATAGCTGTTGTGAGGGGGAGCACGGGATTATAGCTGTGGTGAGGGGGAGCACAGGATTATAGCTGTGGTAAGGGGGGGCACGGGATTATAGCTGTGGTGAGGGGAGCACGGGATTATAGCTGTGGTGAGGGGAGCACGGGATTATAGCTGTGGTGAGGGGGGGCACGGGATTATAGCTGTGGTGAGGGGAGCACGGGATTATAGCTGTGGTGAGGGGAGCACGGGATTATAGCTGTGGTGAGGGAGGAGCACGGGATTATAGCTGTGGTGAGGGAGGAGCACGGGATTATAGCTGTGGTGAGGGGAGCACGGGATTATAGCTGTGGTGAAGGGAGCACGGGATTATAGCTGTGGTGAGGGGGGCACGGGATTATAGCTGTGGTGAGGGGGGGCACGGGATTATAGCTGGGGTGAAGGGAGCACGGGATTATAGCTGTGGTGAGGGGGGCACGGGATTATAGCTGTGATGAGGGGGGGGGCACGGGATTATAGCTGTGGTGAGGGGGGGGCACGGGATTATAGCTGTGGTGAGGGGGGGCACGGGATTATAGCTGTGGTGAGGGGGCACGGGATTATAGCTGGGGTGAAGGGAGCACGGGATTATAGCTGTGGTGAGGGGGGCACGGGATTATAGCTGTGGTGAAGGGAGCACGGGATTATAGCTGTGGTGAAGGGAGCACGGGATTATAGCTGTGGTGAGGGGGGCACGGGATTATAGCTGTGGTGAGGAGGGGCGCGGGATTATAGCTGTGGTGAAGGGAGCACGGGATTATAGCTGTGGTGAAGGGGGCACGGGATTATAGCTGTGGTGAGGGGGGGCGCGGGATTATAGCTGTGGTGAGGAGGGGAGGGGATTAGTCCGTGCTGTGTCGAGGGTAGGCGGGGGGAGGGGGGATTATAAGTACGTTAAGGGGGGTGGGGAGAGGATGGGATTACCCGCCGCCCTGCAGTTGGGAGCGGAACTACTCTGGAGTAAGGAGATTAGTATCTCGTGAGAGGGATTAGTGTTGAGGCGGTGGAAGTGGGGGGGGGGGTATAAGTGGGTAGATAAATCCCCCCTTACGACAGGTGTTGTGTTCGATGGTGTTCAGTTAGACTGTTGTTGTAGCAGCGAGTGTAGGGAGGCATGAGGGAGGATAAATTTACTTTGAAACGTGTTGCGCTGGTTGAGGGTGGGGGGTGGGAGGGGTGGGTAGGGGGTTTGATGGACCCCCAACACAGGTGTTGTGATGGGTGACGGGAAGTAGGGGGGGGGGGGTGTGGGGGGTGTTCACTTGACAGGTGTTGTTGGGGGGGGGAAATGTGGGGAGGATAGGGGTGTTGAGGTTATCAGCTGAGAGCGATACCTTGGCTACAGCCGCCCTGATAACACCCCTGACACGTTATCTTGAGGCTTACGCACGGAAATTACAGTGGGCCCGAGTCAACACATTAGCTAACGAGGTTGTGTGTACCGTGGGGCCGAGCCTTTACCCTGCTGCAGGAAGTCCGCCATGCGGGGTCTGGCGCAGAATTAAATCACCAGGTTGGGGTGTGTGTGTGGGGGCGGGGGTGGCGGGGGCGGGGGCAGGAGGCACGCAAGAGTCACCCCAACACTGGGTGGGGACCAGCTCCCCGCCGGACTCTACTTCCCCGACCCCTTTGTTCAACAAATCCGAAATTTATTAACCATTATTTTTCATTTCGAATTACGTACATTTTCGGCCATACGGGCAAGTGGCCAAATTCAGACGTAATTTGTAACAGTTGATCGGTTGATCGGTTGATCGGTTGATCGGTTGATCGGGGTGTATAAGCTAAAGTTTCAGTTGATGTCCCGTTAAATGTCTTACTGAAACGTATCCTAACTTGCTATGAAAGAAGCAAAATAGTGATTATTTAAAGCATATTCGATTTTTTATGAATAAAACAATAGTAAGAGAACCCCGGAAACAAAATAATAGTTGAAATATTCAAAAGCTGGAATTGTGGGAAGTCCTTATGAACACACTCATTTGAAATGTCAATGTTAGTCAAGATTATACCAACTGGAGAATATTATTATATATAAGCAAAGAGTAGTGGGACATCTAGCCTATATAATATATACTGCACGACACTTTCACAAATAAATAATGTTAAACTCTAAAAACTATAGATAATTAATGTGATCTTGATTTCATGGGGGAGGCGGATCATTGATATCTCTTGACTAAACAAATTATATGAAATTACGACTTTCAAATTTGAATTTGTATAACTAAAACTATTGAAAGGGCATGAGGCCTAC